AACAGCCTTGTTTGCACAGCAAACAGCTATTATGCACATATTTTCCTTGGGTGAATAAATAACAAAAGGCATAAATGAAATTAAATCAGGCAATGACTTGGGTGTCAGGAGTGTAAGTCCATAGCTGTGATTTTTGTTCTTTTCATTCACTCCTCTAAAACTATTTTTTTTGACCACCAGACATACATAATTCCTAACATGAGATTCCTCTGAAGTAGCACATTTGTTCAGGCCTGGTGCCAGAATAGTTACCACCCTATGTGAAAAGCTGTTTTCTCTCCTGGATGCCCTTGAGATGTATCAGCCTGCTCTATGTGCTTTCTGCTGGTGCTATGGGCTCTGATCACTGTCTTCCAGAAAATTTTGCAGTAGCATTTAAGGCTTTGCCAATATCTGCCTCATTTACAGGATGTAAATCCTGTACTGAGGGCACATGCCTATTATTTAGACTTTCCCTTCCTCAATACACACTTCAGCATATTGACTTAAGATGTTGTTAATGGTTCCCCTGAAGATTATGTTCATTTTTTTGGGTAGTACACAACTCAATGAAAGAAGCAAATATTTAGGTTTCTGGAGACACCCTAAATTGGATACCTTGAATTGTGCCCTACACAGTCAGGCTCTCATTTGTTTGTCTTCTTACTTCTGTACTTCTAGATATTCTGCCTCAGAAAAGGGGCTGAACATATTTTGATTCTACATGATCTACTGCTTGCAGACACAGCATGCTCTTGAGGACACACAAGTATGATTCTGAGGCTGGGTCTGACACAGCTAAAAAGATATATCCTACCTTGTAGATGAGCATTGCACCTAAGCTAAATTGTAGGTGGTTGGCATCATCCCTTCTGCCTTAAATCAGTCATGGCCTTTGAGCCCTTCTCCATACGCAGAGAGTAATGGGCCTCTCTCTGGGAACTTCCACAGAGTGAAGGTGTCTATCCAGAGGAGATGGTGCATCTCAGATGGATGAATAAAAGAACATGACTTATTTTTATAGGTACATAATAATAAGAACAACTTGTGATTATGAATTGCAGACAACTTTATAGAATCGTATTTTAGAGAGGAAATGCTTTTCTAAGGTAGTAGCCCCCGTGAATACAAACAGATAATGTCATGTTTGTCAGGACAGTGAACCTCTGAAGGTCATTGTTGACTAGCATGAGACTACTGAAATAGAAATATTTCTCATTCACAACCCATTCTAAGACTAAAATGCAAGACACTTAAGCTGGAAATCTAATGTACTGCCTGACAGGTCCAGCTGCCAGCAGAACAGAATACACATTACTGGCAGCATTAGACAAATCAAACAGAAAGGGTAAAATAAACAACTTGGGCTGGAAAACCAGCATTTAAGGAGCAGAGAAACTGCAAGGGACCACCAAAAAAATGTTCTTACTTTAATATGCATAGTTTAATCACATTTTCAAAGCACTTAGAAAAGTATTTAGGTTTTGGTTTGAGTAATAGGTGCTGATGGGACTTGAATCTTGGTTTTGTCCAAACATAATCTCAAATATCTTTTCAAATATAGTTTTGAAGTGTTTTTGAAAGAGATGCACTAGATAAAAATCATTACTGAAATGACATTAGATGTGTATCTCACTGCAATTTACCTAAAATGAGGAACTGTGAGGTAGTGAATTTGAAAATGGTTTGAAAATAGTTTGAAAAAAACCCCTACAGCCCATTGTAGAGTGTTGCAGAATAGAAACTTACTGCCCTCTTAATTTCTTTTGTTGTCCACACACACATATGCATGTAGTAAATTCTGAATTGTTCTTGCACCAGGAATTGCCTTCTTATAAGTATTAGGCTCAAAAAAATTGAGATTTCCTTGGCACTATTCATTCTCTGCTCTTCAGGTTGTCTTTCACTGTTCACATTTTTTGAATTTAACTTTTGCTGTATAAAGCTGAGCAAAGGAGAACAAGGGCAAAAATAGTGCCACCATTAGTTCCCTGGTATATATTCAAAGGATCTTCTAATAGAGGATTTTGCAAGAGTGGTTTCAAAAAAGATAAATATGGTTTGAGGATACTCCATGCTTTCTCTGTAATAAATGATACCAAGGCATTGTAATTGCTTATTAATGCAGTGATGAATATCTCTCTGTCCAAGATCAGCATGTTAGTTACAAGCAATAGGTGTCTGCAAAGCATTTGTTTCTCTTTCCTTCATCTGAAGAGGCTGCAGCAAGATCTAGTTGTCTTCCAAGCCACTTGCACTAAAGTTCTGGAAAACTGTCCTTTCACTTTAAAATAATGCATCTGTTGAATTCATAATTCAAAATAAATTATGGTCAGTATGGTAAGACTAATAATTATAATCATCATGAATATCTAAAGGAGGGAAAATTAATTTATTTTGTATGTCCAATTTATTTCCTGTATAAATGGTGTAAGCAGAACAATTTTTTTAAAAAAAAATTACAATATTGCATTAAAACTCTTTAACCTTACAATATAACTAATGATTGAAATGATGTTGGATGCTGGTATGACTTTATCAGCATTCAAGACTGGCATTTTCTACAGAAGCAAAGGGCAATGTCAGAATAAGGATGTGCTGGAACTTAGATTATATTGGTACTTCTAAGAGTTGATAACAAAGGTTCTGCTATATCAGTAACATTTAAAACACAAAGATGTTCTGTAATATGCAAAAAATGAAATTATTTTACCTATAAAATATATTGGAATTAAAGAAAAATGTAGGTTTGGATTTCAGACTTTACTGCGTAGTGGTTATGGGTTTTCTTCATAGATGATGACTTTCACCTTTGTCAGGTGAAATTTTTCAGAATTTACAGAAATATTTGTTGAAAAATCTGTTGCTGCTGGTGTCTTTTCCTAAGCAATGCCCAGTATCTCCAAAAGCTAAACTTAAAGAAGTTTGAAGTGCTGCAATTTGGGTTCATCAGACTGTGTCAAATTGCAGACCACTGAATGCACTCTATGAACTGAGATAGGAGAAGAAAAAAGAATTACAAATACTGAAAGTAAAATGAAATGCCTGTAACATTATAAAGAGATTGAGATTAGATTATCATAAATATTTTGGATTTTTGAAATGCTGAAGTCTATAAAGTGTAATCATTAGCAACTTTGTACTGAATGTGCTTTAAATATTTTCTGCAGTACAAAACAAAACCATCCTACATTTTTTTTGTGATAGCTATACTGGCACTGTAGGATCTTATTGCCCTTATTTGCATAAGCTTTACAGATATCTTAAGGAAATTAACAACTTCAGCAAAGCAATCATATCCTATAATTTCATGAAAACTGAATTTTATATCAGAAAAAAAGCAGTCACACAGTATAAAGCATTTTATGAAAGCGATGCAAACATTTCTTACCGTACCCTATAATTATCCAATCACAGAAACAACAAAAGGAGAACATTGTAAGAAAAGTATGTTTGAATTTAAATTCCATTATAGAGCAGTCATACTTTTCATTTCATCAGCAAGGTGGCTAATGTGGTAATGAGACACCCACATACCTACATTCTCATAGTCTCTTTTTTGTTATCTTCCATCTCAAACCTCTTCCCCAGAGAAGCATTTATTTTCTACATTAAATTCAATAAACTCATTTATATAACTGGTATCTTTAAAAATTTATTTATTTTTCAGCCAGTCTGCAGATAATAGTAAGAGATTTTTGTCACAGATGAGTTCAATGGCGTTAAAGTTTAGATTGCCTTGCCTATCCATAGACCCTCTAGCTCCTGTCTGAGAGAGGTAAATGTAACACATAAGGTCTTGCATAACCCACAAAGATGAATCAAATTTCATAAGGCAGCTAAAATATCATTACACATCTGTATTGAGGCAACTGAATACCACCACCCAAATAGTGCCATAGCTCATCGAAATCTGATGGTCCTCAAAGTGACTTTATGGAAATATTTAACTGCTACTTTCATCAAAATGTGAAGAGCCCTGGAGTCAGCCAACAACATTCTTTACCATTTAAAGCATATATTTGTCCTAAAAGAGATGGATATAAATATATCAAATTGAAAAATGGGGTGGAATGTGGTAGAATAAGTATTTTTTTAAAGATTATAATCTCTTAATAGTTTTGATTTTTTTTCTATCTGGAGTTTTTCAAATATTAATAAAAATTTTACTTTATTCTTTCAAAAAATGTATAATCCACAGTAATGCTATCCAGCTGTGTTACCTAGCAGGGATCCATCTATCTCAACATTTCAGGGCTCACCAGTTTTAATGCAGCAGGTCCTCAGGTCCCACCAGGCACTGAACATGCATGTGCATGCACATACAGAAGCTGTGCAGAATGCAGAAACACTCTGCTTAGTGGAACACACACATACGGTTAACATGTTGCTTCATGGTAAGCTAATTGGTGTCCTAGATATGAACTGAGGTCCTGCAGGACAATGACCGTGTTCCTGTGCATAAGCAGGAACATTAAATGGCAAGTAAAACAATCTGACAGATTACAGGACTGGGTCTAGAGATGTAGTCAAAATTTGGTGGTGACAGTTCCATGTGTCGAAGAAACCAAGTCTCTTTTATAATAATGGGCTTTTGGTTCATTGTTCAGATCTATCATTTTACAAGATGCTGCATGGTTCCTCTGCTTCGAAAGTGAATAAACCAGATGAAATGAAAGCATCACAGAAAAAGGCACAGATCTCATCATATCTACCTTACACAGACCTGTGAATGCTAATTGTCTATGTTTTAACTAATCGGGTGTATCTTCTGTACTATTACCTCTCTTAAGTCTGTATGGCCATTAGCAAACCATCTTTTGTTTCTCATTGCTGTCTTTTCAGGCCAGTTTATGGTGCAAATGCTTTCAAAGACAGTACATTAATCACAAACGTTTTCAACAGTATAAATCTGAAGAATAGCGCATGGTGCAGAAATCCCTGGAGCCCAAATATTTATATTCCCTGGCACAATAGTTTCTAGTGATTGTGTTTTCAGGTGGCACCATGAGCATACTCACCCCTAACAAGCAGCTCCGTCTCATCTGACACGGTGTCTGCTGCGGTCTGAACCCTGCAGCCGTATCTCCCGGCGTGCATCAGGAGGATGTTCCTGATCATTAAATCTGCGGAGGATGCTTGCTGGAACAGGAACGAAGTGCCAGTTTAATGTGCAGTAAATCTGTGTCCCAGGTAGTTCATGAAGGTGCTTTGCACAGTGTGAGAAACTCATGATTGCATCTTTCACCTTAGAACATTTATATGCCTTAATATTCTCTTTTGAGGATTATCAGAACACTACATTTATACAATTATTAATAGAGATTAAAGAAGAGGATTTCAGGGTTTTAATAACTTTGACTTTCCATAAAGCATGCTGTGCATATTTGCATGCTCAAAGAACATTATTCCAAACTAGCACAGAGAAATCCATTAAGGAGATGAACAGAAATAGTTTGGATGCAATCCTTGGCATTAAAAAGTGCTCTTAGAAATGAAGGGCTCTTTCTTTCGTTTCCTCTTCCCTACAATACAGCAACATTTGGAATATGTTTCACTATCGTAATGAAATTAAGATGACTTGAAAGATAATGTTAGTTGATTTTTACTGTTGAAATCAACGATTTTTCTTCCTTCTGAAGCATTTTTTTCTCTGAATAGTTAAATGGAAATAATTTTAACATATTAATTGAGGACAGAGAAAATGTCTTGCAAATATGACAGAGAAAACAAATATGTCAAATTTTCTTTATCATTATTATTTTATACAATATCTGAACCTAACATGCTATGTTTTTTCAACATTAATGAAGTTTGCATATCATTATATCATAGATTACATATAATTAATATTTTGGATAAGATTATGCAATATATAATATACAACTATACTTAGTCATTGTGCAGATATAATGCACAGCTTTAATAATTACACAAACAGTAACATATAATTTTAAAAATATAACAATATATAAGATATTGTTCTATTATATAAACCAGTATCATATTATTCCATTACTCTCTACTATCTAGACTTATATGATACTATATATATAAAAAACATATGTATAATATATTATATTATGTCTAGTGCATTTTATACAATATAATATGATGTAATAAATGTAATAAAATGTTACATATATTATCTGTTATATTACATTTACCATATATCTTCTAGTGTATCTTATATTTTACATATTGATTACTTATCACTGTATAGCTAACATATTAATGGTATGATATCATATTATATTCAAGTGTTTATATGCACCCATTCAGTCTTTCAGCTTAAGAAACATTTATTGAGTATTATTCCCTTTTCATATTATATGTACTTTGATAGCAAGCAAAGACTGACAGTCTTTCCTTTAAGCACATATTTCTTGTGTTACAATATGCAATGGTTCGCATTTGAGTAATTTTGATCCTGAATTAGCAGAATTGTGTCATGCATTCAAAAGAAAGACTTACTAAGGATGTACATGTTGATACTTTTCTAGTTGTGCTGGAAATGGGTCACTGTCTTCACCTAAGTTCATTTTTCCCCTTTTTTTTTTGACACGTTTTCTCTGCTCAAGTTGTTGCACTCCAATCTTTATCCTTCTCAATCATTTGCACATTTTGAGCTCCTCACTTTGTCACCAGTTATCAATATGTGCATGACCTTGTGCTTTGAAGTATTACACTTCCTGTCTGTTCCCACGTGTTATTGTTATCATCTGTAATATGTCCAATTTTGTAACATACAATTGTCATTTGCGTACTTTAATCTCTTATGCCAAAGTCATTAAAGAGAAGATTAAATAGTACTGGTTCCAAGAGCCAATCTCCTACAACTGAGTTTTTTCTTTTGAGGCAGATTTCCTTTTCAGCACATACTGGCACACCTTCTTCAGCCAACATTCTTTTCATTTACATTTTTGGAACTGAATTTGTTAAAATATTCTGCGTAGCATCAAGGCAAAATCTTTACCAAACACATTCACGTACAAAGAAGGAAAAGCCAGGTGGGACATTAAGGTTGCCACTGAGACTCAGGTGGAAGTGGGCATGATCTATAGCTTAATAACCCTGTACATCAAAGAGTGTCAATACAACGGTAGTGTTTTGCCTTCTGAAGTGGCTTTGTTAATGATGTTTGTGGAGGGAAGACACACAGACCAGTCAGGCCGTAATGCAATTCCTATATTCTTGCTCTGGCATATCAGAAATCACAGCTGTGAAAAAGAGTATCCAAGTATTCTGCAGCTCTAAATGCAAAAGAAGAGTACATGCACTCCTACCAGGAATCGATTTCAGGATACAAATTTTTCAAATTATCTAGCACAGCAGCATTTACTAGCCATTGAAACATGGGTTGCCCAAGATGACTAGTGATTCTGTTACAAAACCTTAACTATTAGAAGGTTAAGACCAGAATCAGTCCACATTTCTCTTCTTTTGAGAGTAATTTACATTTAATGTGTGTTTTGTTGTAAATTGGGAGGAAAAGCATAATGGATAGCAACTGTGCTTTCATTGCTCAGGAGCTGTTAAAAATCGTGACTGTCACTCTAACTTTCAGAGGGTGTATGACTGTGTGAATCCTAATATTCTTATCAGGAAAATTTTATGTATAGCATCTGCACACCTGCGTTACTGGGCAGACAAGCAGCAATTGAAAGAATCATTGCTATAAGTGGAGAGCGGTGCAGTACAATGGATCCCTATGAAATGTATTTATTACAGCATGACAGGATGTGCAGCCAGCCTAGGCCATGGGAGCGGAAAGAAATCAAACTCTCTGTGTTTAATACAGATGGATATATGCTCAGACACTACATGCTGGATCAGGGTAAATACTGAGACATTTTAGCTTCCATTTAGATAAATAGGAGCTATTTGATCAGGACCTCTAAAAAATACCATATTGTTTGCTGTTCAGTGGTATTTATAAAGTAGTCTTTATGAATTTTAAAGACTTACAAGTCTTAGAAGATGGATTATTTTATTGATCAATTTATCTTGTAATGTGAGGTTCAAGGCCACAACAGGGCCTGGGGGAGGGGTTTAAATGGACATGCTGACTTTCCAAATCTTAAAAAAATCTCTACATCATGTCATTGCAGCTACTGCTCAAAAGTTGAATGATTACAATCTAGTTTAAAAAAAAACTGCTAAGGGAGATTGCAGCAGAGATTCCATCACGTAAAGTAAGGTCAGAAACTTTGTCTTCTGCTTTTAGTTTTCTTTCAGTGGAAAAAGATGTAATGCTTCTGCAAAAGCAGAGACAGACCCTCTGCTTTGAGAAAGACAAAACTAGGTGACATGGAAGTAGTGTAGAAAGATCTCTCATCTGCACTAACATGACTTAGAACAGCCTCATGTATCAGCAACCAAGTGGTTCCAATATTATTTAAAACTGAAATTAGGGGTGTTTAAATTTCTGCTTTTTATTCCACTAATTTTATGCTCTTCTGTGACAGGGTGTATTTTGAAATAAGTGAAATGTTTCAGAGTGGCTTTTTGTTAGTAAAATCTGTATTCCCTGTTGTTCTGAATATCATATATTACACGTTTAGCCAAGTATCAAAAGTATTTATAACTGTCCAGCATAAAATTCTACTCTGTGGAATATGTGTTGTCTTTTACTGAAGCTAACCCCAAAAATACAGTAATAAGTAATAATACAGCTATCAATGCTATCTGTCATGACTAATGATTCTTTAGTGATTAGGACAACTAATTATTGTATAATTCATATTATGCCCATGACTATCCCATTCATCAGGTTCTGGGCATCTCCAGTGCTGTGTACTGTGTGAATCTATTGTTTTTTTTTTCTCCAGTATGGCATGTTATTTAAGGTCATAGCTGTGCCTACAATACATCTAATTAGCTTTACCTGTAAGGCATTGTTTGAAGTAATTTTTCATGAGCATTTGTCCTACCTATACATAGCATTTGCATTTGGTGTGTACATACTTCCCCAAACTCAAAAAGGCTCCAAGGAGCATGTAATATATATACTTTGCTCAAGGAGAATCACCTTGTTTCGTTTGGTTTGTGCACCCATTGCCCTAATACCATGGATTTAAAGAAGAGAGTAAAAAAAGCCAGCTTGCAGAGAACGTACTGTTGGTGAATTAATACTTCTTCAGTCATCCCACATCACCAGAGAGACGAAGTTGTATGTGGAATTTTTCCTTTCCATTTCATAAATCTTAAGTTGTGTGCTGCTTTGCAGTAAAGTAACTTTTACATATGGCTCTTCAAGTGAAGTGAATTACACTTACTCTTCCTGTGAGAGTGAGTTCTTTATCTTGAGCCAGTTGCTAGGAAACTTTCCTGTTAACCTGTCCATTCATTTGTTGAGTTTTTATCTCTAAAGCAAGGTGTTTCATATGTATCTAATATTTTTTTTTTAGAAGGCTTTGTACAAGAACAATCTATAATCTGCATTTGAAATAGAGCTCACGTTTGCACTGGGAGCCTTTTTTTAACACATAATATGCCTCTAGTTCACCTCCCCTACTTCTTCCATGGAAGAATTAAACATTGGTTTGATTATTAAACAGTTTATCACATATGTTCAAACTACAGAACCCTACATGGAAAATATGTATGAAACTTATGAACCTTAAATAATTCTTTCTTTCACCATTATATTGATTCTAGCTTTCATTTAATCTGCTTCTAATGCTGCTCTCCTCCCATGTTGATTATCATACTTCCTTTCCCCACTCAAGCTGCAGTTCTGTGAATGTAGCTCTGCTTTATCTTAGAAAGAGGGACAAAAAGGCAAAGAAGTTCAAAATACTGAGTAGTCAACAGAGATGATGTGGTGACTCGTAGCTCTCAGCTGCTGCACTGCAAAGTCCTAGGGTCTAGAAAAGCTACCTATTATTGTACTGAGGAGTCAGGTTGGGAACTCAATGTAGACACCATGCTGTGAAAATTGTCTCTCTGCTTGGGAAAGGGCTCAGGGCAGGACCCCACGGAGCAGAGTTTGTGCTCCCCCTCCCTATCCCTTAGTTTTCCCCAGATGGAGAGATAAACAAGGGAAATCAGGAGTAAGAGAGACATTGCACCAACTGGAAGTTAATAAAAATAAAGTATATTATTTAGCAGGAAACAAAAAGCAAGAAGGGAGGTGTGTA